GGGGTGAGTCGAGAGACAAAAATCTGCCTTTAAAGATTGGTTTATTGATTAATTAAAGAATAACAGTAGAGGTATGAAAAGAAATGTGATGAATTATTATTATGTTTAAGACAGTCACCCATTGTAGAGTGTAAATTAGTTGTTATAGATAGGTGGACGTCTTGTGATGTGCCATTACAATGTATAAAATGTAGGGAAGGGGAAGGGGGTTGGGAAGTAGTTTTTCTACAGTTGATAGTCCTTATACAGATAACCCTTAGAGCAGGTTCGACTGTTTTCTTTTTGGAACCCGACACATGAAGTTGACAGGGTGTTTTTGCCCCCCCCCCAAACAGGGCAGTGCTACTGACTGATGATGTCTTTAGGTCATTCCCAAATGGAGCGTATTGAAATGTTCTTAAGCTTGGTAGAATTATAAATGGGCTGATTTATCAATGTCATGCTCATACTGTGCCGGAATAACATAGGGGAAACTGCTGTCTTTTCTTTCATCATTCTTAATATCGTCATTTTTCTTTTACTTCTTTTGTATGGGTGTCACTCTCTTGTGAACTGCTATTCCCTGGGTGCCTTGACAGTCGAAGCAGACGTTGTGCTGTTAAGGCTAGAGAGGTGAGCAGAATAAGTCTGGTTCCCCGTTTGGACTTCTCTGTTGACATCCAATCCTTGGCGCTCATATGATCGTATGCAGCTGCGAGCGCCGCAAAACGTTACTAAAAACTAAATCATCTTCGATGCAATAAGAAAGTGTGCAATATCATATCAATATAAACACACAAGTACACAGTATAAACAGTATCTGCGGATAGTCTGCAGCGACTGGGAATAATATGAGAAGGTGACGCAATTATAATGATGCGATGAGATGTAATTTACTTCTTCCATCGTCTATCAGGAGAATGACATCAATCATTCAGTCAATCAATGTATAAAACACACACACACACACACCCACACACACACACACACACAAACACACACACACACACAAACACGGGCGCACACACACACATTGGCACATACACATTGACACATACACTCAGATAAGCATATTATACATACACATACATATTACGGATAATTTTTTTTATGCGTACACTTACATACATTGAACATCCATATCTACATCTGCTTATTGATACACATATACATATAGTTCATATATATATAATATGTATATGCATATACATAATATAGTCTACAAAAATATACATACATACGCATGATATATAGATACATGTACATATACATAGTATGCATAATATACAGACATATACATAACATATACACACATTCTTACATACATTCATAATTACATGCGTTTGTAGGAACGACAAAACCATTGAACCAAGAATGATTACAGCATCAGTTGGAAGTAAATGCCATATAATTACAACAAGGAAAGTATGAAATAAAAAATGGAAATAGCAATAGGAGTAAAACTAGACACACACACACACATACACACAGAGAGAGAGAGAGAGAGA